CTGATCCGTATTTGTAGTCTCAGGACAGGCAGAGAGATCGAGTTTCACACCCTTTAAGCAATGCAAACACAGTTGCATCACTGCCTGGTACTCAGAGAACTGCAAATCTCAGAGCGCACTAGGGGTATGTTTATCTGACCAGGGATTGAAACAGCCTCACTTGGGTTCCTTACAGCCCCACCTGCCGAAAGGCAGCTGCCAAGGTGGCTCTTCCTAAAGAAGCAGGTGTAGTGCCAGTGTCAGAGCTGTCCGCAAGGAACCTGGACACCCATACTTCCCACAACCCTTTTATCCACTTCCCTGCCAAAATGCACTTCAACTCGTTTTTCCAAAGTATCTGGGTTTTTCATTGTTGTTTTCTCTTTCCTTAACTTGGTGCATAAGTAGAGTACAAGGGTATTTCAAAAAGTTCAAGGAAAGATTTGTATTATCTTTTAATTCTATTTTTCCATGAACATTTTGAAATACTGTCATACAGTGATTAAAAAGTTAGAAAGTAATACCTAGGGTGAAGTAACTAGTGCAAATAATATCCCCGGAGAGAGAATATTATAAAGAGACATTTCTTCACTTCTTTTCACTAAATATCAGGCAAAATGAAATGAGCTGACATTGCAAAAGAGGAAGCTTCTGTTCTGTAGTATAAAAGGCACATACATGGAATGGAGAAGTTATTTATCTTATAAGGAGTTATTTAGATCAAGTCCTTTCTGGTAAGCAGCAGAGGTGTGGATTCAGTGGCTTCTTAATTAGACAACCCACATCAGGTTGTTGTTTTTTTCTTTTTCCCTTTCATTCATTTTTTCTGTCTTTCTTTGGAAACTTTCCTTGGGCTCTTGGACATGTTCCTTTCCTCCTCTCACTGAAGCCTAGTATTGTTCTCTACTTCCCACCCTGCTCCATCTTTTAGGTTGTCTGCTCTGTATAGCATTCTCTCTGCTGCTTTGAGTTCAGGACNGCTAAACACTGTGTGCACGTGTTCGCCATCCAGGGCTCTGTGACAGTTGTTTAAGAGCTGAGTAGATAAATGTTTCTGGTGATTTGGGAGACTGGGTGGACTCCCATTAACATGGGTCCAATTTCTGGGTGATTTTGATGAAATGGAACATCCTCCTTCATGGGTACCAGCCTTCTGCTCTCCATCTGTTTGTACATTTGACTGTCAGCCCAGGAACAAAGAGGACCGCAGGCCACAGCAATAGCCAGAAGGAGCATTACAGGCCTCTGAGCAGAGAAGACGACGTGCAGAATGGCACGGCCCCCACACCTTGGGTTTTTGGTGGTGGCGTGATGGATTACCTCCACTGCAGAGCTAGCAAAGCCTCTTATCCTTTTCAAGTTGATTGCATCCACGCCATAGTCTGGGGCTTATAGAAACCAGGCAGTGAGTGAAAGAAAACCATCCATTAGCCTAAATTCTACTGTTCTCATCCCCATCCTTTTTTATTAGAGTAAAATGGAATAGGAAGGGGAAAAGTAATATGTTCTGTGTTTATAATAGCTGGAAAAAAATGTGCCTTCAGGGACCAGGGTTCATATCCTTCCCCCCACCC